GCTCTGCAATGCCCCTCTGTCATGCCTGCCTTGGAGCCACCCAACTATGCACTGAAACTTTTACAAACATGAGCTAAATAAACTTTTCCTTCTTTAATTTTGAGTGTTAGGCATTTGTCTCAGCAAAAAGAAAAGTAACTAAGACACAAGTCATTGGTTCTTATGTGTTTTTCTTTTTCCATTATACATAAGAATCAATTTTAATCCTCCCCATCCTGTCTTTAACAACTTTCCTCTATCTCAAATAACATCCACAAAAACTCAGTACCATTTTGTTCTTTCTGTCCAAGCAAGATAAACAGTGCCTACTCCCTAACAGCCCTGACTGGTGCCATCATACCAGGTGTTTGGCAGTATTTCACTAGATTCTGTCAAAGCATACCCTAATACCTATTACTTCCCATGATTGTATTCAATAAACAGTGGATGTGCTTGGGGGTTTTTGTCTTTGCTGCCATCAGCAGCACTGACCAGGACCTAAGACTTAGCTTCTTCACTCTGGCTCATTTCTATCTGTTCTTGAATTCACCAAGTGCTGTGGTGGCTCACAGGACAAGACCCATGTCAGAGGTCCTGGTAACAACCCCTTCCCCTTTCCCTACATCAAATAAACAATCAAATGATGCAACTGAAGAAACTAGAAAAGTGAGAACAAACCACACCCAAATGTAGGAGAAGGAAAGAAAGAGAAAATATAAGAGTAGAAATAAATGTGACAAAAATTACAATTATTAAAAGTTTTTCTAAAGATAAATTGACAAACTTATAGCCAAACTAAGAAAAGAAAAAAGGGAGAAAGATGACCTAAATAAAATCAGAGATGAAAAGGGAGGCCTTACAATTGAGAACACAAACAAGAAGAGGCCCTTTTATGAGAAAATATATTCCAACAAATTGGAAAACTTAAAAGAAATGGATATATTTCTGGACACATATAAACTACAAAAATTGAAACATGAACATATATAAAACCTGAACTGACCAATAATAAGTAACTACATTCAATCAGCAATAGAGTATCCCACCAAAGAAAAGTCTGGTACCAGATGGCTTCACTCCTGAATTTTACCTAACTCTCAGAAAGTAATGCAAATTCCTTCCAAACTATCCCAAAGTATTGAAAAGGAGGGAACCTTTGCAAACTGATTCTACAAGGTCAACATTATCCTAATACCACAACCAGATAAAAATACAATGCCAAAAAACTGAAATTACAGACATATTTTTTGAAAATAGATTGAAAATTTCTCATCAAAACACTATCAAATTGAATCCAAGATCATATGAAAAATATTGTACACCAAATCAAGTGGTATTTATCTCTTCCATCATAAGGTTTCTGCCTTAGAATGAGCTAACCATGGACAGAATCCTGTGAAATTGTGAGGCAAATTAAATTTCTCTTTTTATAAACTGTGAGTGTTGAAGCACTGTGTCCCAGAATGGGACTAATACACAAAGTATTCACATGACAGAGGATTCATTTCCAGGATACATAAGGAATTCAAATAACTCACCCACAAAAACTCAAATAATCTAACTAAAAATGAGCTCATGACTTTAATAGACAGTTTGTAGAGAGGATAGAGAAACAGCCAAAAGGTACAAGAAAAAATGCTCAGCATCATTAACCATCAAGGAAATGCATCAAAACCACAATAAGATATAAACAAGAACAAAGAAAGTGAAATATTGTCAAGGAGGCAGAGAAAGGGGAACTCTCAAACACTTAATGGGAACATAAATTTGTACAGTAATTATGGAAAATAGGATGAAGACTCTCCAGAAACAAGTAAAAAATAGTAACATTATATGATCTAGAAATTGCACTATTGGGTATGTATCCAAAGAAACTGAAATTAGACTGTCAGAGTGATCTCCACCGCCTTGTTTGCTGCGGCAGTATTAACAACAACCAAACAGGTGTTCACTGAAGGATGAATGAATAAAGAAAATGTGTTCTTGCACACAATGGAATATTCCTTTGCTATAAGAAATGATGAAATTTTGTAATTTGCAGAAACATGGATGTAATGAAGGGATGTTATATTACATGAGCTAATTCACATAAAGACAAATACCACATGTTCTCACTTATTCATCGAAGCTAAAATGTTAAATGTAGAGAATAAAATAATGGAAACCAGACACTGGGAAGGGTGTAGGGGAAGTACGGATGGAGAAAAGAGGGTACAGGGTTGCAGTTGAATAGGAAGAATAAGTTTTAATATTCTATAGCATAGTATGTTAACGATGGTTAACAACAACCAATTGAATATTTCAAAATAGCTAGTAGAGAAGATTTTGAATTTCTAAGTATAAATAAATGATATATGTATTCTAATTACCGTGATCTGATTTTTACACACTGTGTAGATGAATAGTTGTACTGTACCACACAAATATGTGTACTGTGTCAACTAAAAATAAAAATGTGTCTAAAATGTGTTAACATAGCAAGATACAAAGGTATAAGATAAAAAGTGTTATTTTCTTCAACATCTTGCATCCTACCTACTTAATTCCTTTTGTTCAGAAGTCTGACATTTTTAACAACTCATTTTCTAAGGATATTCCAATGCATTTAAAATTATAAATGGGATTATTCTGCCACTTGCATTTATAAAATTTACGTTGTTGCTGAAATTTTTCCACCTGAAAGCATATATATATATTATATAATATATATATTTTTTTTTTTGTATTTTTTTTGGTACCGGGATTGAACCTGAAAGCATATTGATTGATCGTATTCTTTTTAATAATTGCCAGTATGATGTACCATAATTTTCCATTTTATCTCATTATGTATTAATAATGTACGACTTACATTGTCGGGAGCAATTCCACATTAATTTGGGGGGAATATCATTCCACAATTAAATTATGATCCGGCCTAGTTCTCCTACCTAAAGCTGGCAATGACATGTGAGACATGACTGCATTTTGGCCTCCAGTCACAGCTAAAAAACCCTCAATGGTAGGGTGATGCTGTGATGCTCCAGGACAAGATTACACCAGCTGAAGACATCCTGGGAAGAACAAAATCTTCATCTGCATGATTCCTCATTGTTCTAGGATTTTCACCACTGTGCTGACCGCTGCCCATGCCCTCTGAGTGACCTTTCACATTTGCTACGCTGATTACTGAACTCCTTGCCCTGAGCCATCTGTTACATTTGTTTTCTCTTGAGGTATTGAATAAAGGTGTGGCAAGCTCCTGGGCTTTAGTCTTTGATCAGAGCAGCATTAGTTAGGCCCAAAGCTCAGCTTCTTCTCTAAGTCTCACTTTTTTCTGTCTTTGCTGTATAATAAATTAATTGGCCTTACTCTGTCGCGGCTCTCAGGAGACTAGGACTTAACTGCAGAGGTTCTAGTAACGTCCCGTTTCCCTGTTCCCTACAGTACATGACGTTATAAATGTTTACTGAAGCTGTACTCCAGCTAAAGAGTACTGTTTAGCTAGAGAAATAGCAATGAATAACACAGATATGGTTGGTGTCCTTACGGACCTAGTGATTTAATAGGGATGGTAAATCAAAGCAGGAGGAAAATGACATTGTGATCATAGGTATGTGGGAAATCAATATTAGGTGAGATAATATGTGTGTGTGGGGTCAGTTTTGTGCTCATGCTTGATGGGCCAGCTGTGAGAAGAACCCAGAAGCAGCATTCTAGGCCATTGCCAATTATTTCAGTGTTAAGCATTAATAAATACTCACTGATTAATAACCAGCAGCTGTGTTACAATGTGATGATCCAAGGGTAAACAATTAAGCTTTGGTCGTTCTCTTAGAGCATACATTTTAAAGTAAACAAAAATATAAAAACTTTCAACAGTGACTGAAACAATAATTGCCCAATAAATGTATGCTTTTCTTATTAAACGATTTATTAAAATATTGTTCACCACCTGGCAGATAAATTTATCTCGTTCATCTGTAAGTCATGTTTATTAGCCATGTGAATCTTTATTATTTGTATATTATATATTTATACTGTATTCGGGATCATCAGTTTATCTTTTACTGATAGATGGATTTGTAGTTGTGTTGCCGATATAGCAACCAACTGTATATTCCATGTACTAATATTTTCCCTTACTAGTATTTTAGTCTCAAATGCATCTGTAAATGTAGATTTTTGAAATTTGTTGTAGTATCAGTCCGTACTCATTTAGTTTGTGGCTTCTTTGGGTCTCCATTTCTTGGAGACTCCATGCACCTGTGAACAAAAGACAAAAACAAAAACACCACCACCACCCATCTACAAAAACCCCCACAAAACTCCGTAAACCTCAAGTCCGTTTGACATCTCAGGGCCAGCTAAGGCTCCCAGAGCTTGGAGGACCCTCCACAAGATAGGCCAAGGGGAGGTGGCAGGTGCAGGCAGTTCTGCCTCTTGGAAAGGCCTTGCTAGGATGGGAATTTGGCTTGCTCGCTGTTGGACAAGGTTGCACAGCAACAAAGTGACTCTTCTCCGGAGGCCTGGAGCAGCTCCACAGTAGTTTGCTCTTTCCAAAGAGCACATGCTGTGGTTTCCACAAAGTGCAGGAAGCCATGACTTTGAAGAAGGGCGTTTTAGGAAATACACCTGCCGCTAGCCGCGGATCAGAGAGAAGGCGTATCCACCTGGTTGTGGAAAAGTGGTAGTTTGTTAACCTCCCAAGCCCGGGGCGCCAGGAATTGCTAGTTAAGAGCGCCGCTAATTCAAGCCGGAGTGGGTACAGCCGCACTGGCTACTTCCGTAGTGGGCGGAGCCTCTGGGGCCTTAAATCCTGGAGCCAGGGCCGCACACGCAAGCATTTTCGGCGGAACGTCGAGCAGTCGATTGCTCCCTTTTGGCAGTCCGCACCAGTT